GTTCGATGCGACCAATGGCGTCCGATTCCCGTGAACGCGTCACCCCATATATACACCGTGCCGAAAAACGACACGGTCATCCCAGTCCGTTGTAAACCGCCGCCGTGTCAACTAGTCCGTTAACCGTCAGTGTGCTACAACCCCTACCCACGTACTCCGAAACCGATCACGTGTGCGCTCGAACCTCGTGTTCCCGTCGCTTCTGTGTCGTGCCGAAGTGCGTATACTGTGCGTTACGAGTACCGTCCGTGTGTGCGTTTTTATTCACCGCGAACCACGTGCTCGATTCCGTGCGTCGCTCTCCGAGCAAGTGCGCTAGCCGTCGCTAGCAAAAACAGTGCGTACGACAACGTCGTAAGTGCCCAAACCGCGAAACCAAGCGTTCCGTCGGTCACCCGCCCACCCACCGCATCGAGATCGTCGGTCGATAACGTTCTGTGCCCGCCGGTTACTGTCGTGTCTAGCCAGAGGATTTATCCCCAGGTGAACCACGCCGGTCCGTCGACCAGCCCGATCGTCGCCGTCCCGACGTTCCGATCGCCGGCCACCCCAACCGCGTCCAGTGCCGCCGAGTTAAGTCAGCATCGTCATACTGACCAGTAATTCTGACTAGCCCTGTTCAGGGCTCTTGCCGGGACGAATTACTGAAAAAAAAAAAAATCTCGCTCGCGCGCGTTCCACGGTGCAGTGCATTCAGAAGTCTTAACTAATATTGGATACTCCAGGTTAGTGAATTTATACTTATTTCTATTCCAGCTCCCCCACAACACATCAAACAGCCTGACCCGTCTCCAGATCTCCAGGTAACCCATAGCCACTATGGGTCGAGGAGGCAAAGGTCAAAAACGCGTTCTTGCCTCGAAAGCCGGCAACTTACCTGCTTCAAAGAGAGGCAAACAGCGCTCCGCGCCTACTTCGCCCGAACCGACTGACGAAGAGTCCGTCTCGGGTGAATCATACACATCCGATACAACAACCACTTCACAATCAACAATTCAAACACCAAACCCAACACCGGCCTCCGTAACATCGAAAAGAATTCCACCGATAATCGTCGCGTCATCATTATGGCGCAAAATTGCACCAATCATCCATCAAAATCCAGACAACCGCGCAGAAAAAATGTCCGCCAAGGTCATCTCCGATGGCAATATTCAAATAAACAGCTCAGACGTTAGCCAATTTAAACTCTTACAAAAAATCATGACAGAAAATCAAATAGAACACCACACATTCAAACTTCCAGAAGAGAAACCCATCAAAGTAGTCATTAAAGGAATTCCAGTCGACGTACTAAACACAGAGCTGTCCGAAGAATTACAAAGACTAGGCTTTACGGTCCAAACGGTCAGACGTTTTGGCACCGAAACAGCCCCGATGCCAATCTGCTTCGTCTCAATCGCAAACTCCACCAACGCGAAAGACATCTATGACCTAGACGCGCTTTTTTACATAAGAGTCAAGGTAGAAACATTCAAGCAAAACGGTCCGGCTCAATGTTTCACCTGCCAGCGATTCGGCCACGGCTCGAGCAACTGCAAACACGCCCCAAGATGTGTAAAGTGCGCCGGACCCCACCTAGCGAAAGAATGCCAAAAGAGGAAAGAAGAACAACCACTGTGCTGTAACTGCAATGGCAATCACACCGCAAATTACAGAGGATGTCCATACTACCTAGAAACCGAACACAGGAAGGAAACCAACAACCCAACACCGACAACTGAAACAACACAAAGAGCTGAATATCCCACCTTAAAACAAAAAACAACCTCCGAATCGACTGAGCCAACAACGACAACCGCAAACAAAAGCTACGCCAGAGCGACATCGTCAGCCACGAAAAAATCAATAGACACAACACAAATCATTCAACTTCTCAAAAACCTGCTAGAAGCTCTCGCCACAGCCGATGACCCAAAAACAATAATACTGACAACAATCAACTCCTTCGTACAAATACTTACAATTAACAATGAATAACCTAAACGTCATTCACTGGAATTGCAACGGCATCACAAACAAACTCAACGAACTTCAAAACTTTACTAAAAACTACAAAATCGACATCATACTACTCAACGAAACTCACTTGTCACCGAAAAACCGTCTTAAACTCTCCAACTACATAACCTATAGAAACGACCTTCCAACGAAAAGAGGAAGTCCACCACACGGAGGAACGGCAATTCTAGTCCACCGAAGCATAGTCCACCAGCCTGAGAACCTAAACACAACACTACAGTCTACAAGCGTCAGTATCAAGACAAACAACGCAGAAATATTAATATCAGCAATTTACAAACCGCCAAAAGACGACCTACAGCCAGGAGATCTCGACGAAATAACTAACAACGCAGAATGGTTCTTAGCAGCTGGTGACTTAAATGCAAAACATACACTTTGGCACAGCAGAGTACACAATAAAGCTGGTGTTGCACTATATAACCACCTGCAACATAATGACTACGTAGTATATGCGCCAGACACTCCAACGCACTATCCGGGAACTGCTCACCACAGACCAGATGTACTCGACATAGCACTGGCCAGACTTCCTCTAATGGTACAAGTAACTAACCTAAACGAACTCTCCTCAGACCACAATCCGATTCTTCTCGAAATTTCCAACTCCCCAATCAGAACACTACCACCTAGATCCAAAAAACACATAAACTGGAGAAAATTCAACGAAACTCTAACTAACGACAACCAAACAATAAACCCGCCTACAAGAAACGAAAAAGAAATCGACACAGCAATACTTCTACTAACAAAAACAATTCAAAACGCGCTTTCAAAGAGCTCCTACACACCGAAGACAAAACAAGGCACAAACAAAACACCAGACTACATACTTAGAGAAATATCGGAAAAAAACCGACTCAGAAGAGAGTGGCAAATCACCCGCGACCCACACATTAAAACGCAGCTCAACGGTAAAATTAAACGAATCCGAACAATACTTCAAACTGAACGACAAGACGAATGGGACAAACACATTGAACAAATAAAACATGACAACAATTCGATTTACAAACTCAACAAAAACCTACTGAACAAAAAACCTGCAATTCACCCACTTCAAGGACCTCACGGCCTAACTTACTCACCCGAAGAGAAAGCGGAACTACTGGCAGACTCCCTAGAATCACAGTTCGCACCGAACCCTGGAACAGACATAGAAGAGGTCACTCGCGAAGTCAACAAGATTAAAAACACCAAGATCCAAAACTCAGGTATTTCTACAACTCCAGGCTCCATCAAACACATAATCAACCGACTTCAAAACAAAAAAGCTCCAGGCGATGACTCCATCACAAACGCAGCAATGAAATTTTTACCAGACAATAAAATTATCACGCTAACCAAAATATATAACAGCTGTCTCCGCATTAGCTACTTTCCACCAGCTTGGAGAGAAGCCGTCACAATATCGATACCCAAACCAGGTAAAGACCCGAAGTTACCCGAAAGCTACCGCCCAATATCACTCCTGTCAACACTGTCCAAAATCTTCGAGCGAATAATCCTACATCACCTTTTGAAAGACGCACTCAGAAAAATTCGTGAAGAACAATTCGCTTTCAGACCAGGCCACTCCACCACACAACAACTAATCAAGCTCATCGACACTATAAGTATCAACCTCAACAACGGAATACAAACAGCTGCAGTGTTCCTTGATGTGGAGAAGGCCTTCGACAGAGTCTGGCATGACGGCCTGTTATACAAAATGTCAATAATGCAAATCCCAATCCACCTCATCAAATTAATCGAATCCTTCCTGACGCAACGTACCTTCAGAGTCAAATGCCTAGAACATATATCATCAGCCAGAAACATCACAGCAGGAGTTCCACAAGGATCATGCGTGTCTCCACTGCTGTTCTCCATATACGTTAACGACATGCCGACAAAAGGTAACACCAAAGTGGCCCTTTTTGCAGACGACACCATGTACCACACATCCAACCATAACGCAAAAAGAGCTGTCATACAAACTCAAGATCAGATCAACGTCACAGCCAATTGGTTTAGTAAGTGGAGACTTAAAATAAACCCAGCCAAAACAGTAGCAGTACTTTTCGGCCACAACAGAACCGAAACAATCCCAAAAATCCAACTAGAAGGACAAGAAATCAACTGGTCAGAAAACGTAAAATATTTAGGTGTAACCATAAACAGAAAGCTGAGCGCAAGACCACATGTGGAAAATATCATAAAGACCGCCACAAGCAAACGAGGAATCCTATATCCTATTCTCATGAAAAATAACCCAATTCCCATAAGGACAAAAATCAACTTGATGAAGCTCTACATCGAACCAACCCTCACTTATGCCGGCACATCATGGGCTCCCTACGTTACCAAATATCAATGGACAAGGATCGAAGCAGTGCAGACAATCACTTTAAGAATGATAACCGGAACAACCAAGATCCTGAATAACACAATACTACTCNACGACACGGTTACCAAGATCCTGAATAACACAATACTACTCAAACAATCCAACTGCACTTCAATACAGGAAAAAATAAAACTCCAGTCAAAAGTNAACTACTCAAACAATCCAACTGCACTTCAATACAGGAAAAAAATAAAACTCCAGTCAAAAGTACTATTTTACAAAAACAGCCTCTCACAGTTTCATCACATTAGAACACTCGGACACGAACCAGATAAAGAATGGCCAAACAGAAACTCAAAAACAAAAACCCGCCCACTGGAGTGGACGAACAACTAACTAACCAACTGACTAACTAACTAACAAACTAACGAACCTCACAAAAATCAAGACTACAATTAAGACAACAAAAACAAGATAAGTATATACACTTAAAAATATATCAAACTCATACAAAATAACCAATAATATAACTAATTGCTTTTTTCTAGCAAAA